CGCGACGGGGCGCGCAGCGGGTCCGGCCCGGCGGGGGCGCGCGCGCGGCCTCCCCCGGCGCGCAAGTCCCTGGTGGAGCAGTCCGCCCCGGTTCGCGCGGGAGACTCGAGCTGGCCCTGCTCGCGCCTCCGAGCCCGGGTACCTGGCCCACCCAAGCCCTCCGCGCCAGCCTCCGTGGCCTCCGCGCCTGCGGTCCAGGAGGGTGGGGGTGGGGGCCCGTGGAGCTGGCTTTGTTTTGTTCTGGGGAAGGGGCGGGCTCTGCGCGCCCGCAGCGCAGTGGCTGCCCAGGGCTCAACCGAGCCCAGCGCCCAGGTTTTCTCACCCTGCACACTGCATCCTGGCCCCGTCCTGCTAGTGGAACTCCCCAGTATTGACTGCTGGTCACTGGCGCCACTCGCCGTGGGAGTGCTGAGATAGGCCTGCGCTCAGGAATGAACAAACCTCCAGTGCCTACTAGGTTGGACTCGATGGGCTGGGAACCATTACCCGCAGGATGATAAAAATAACTGATAATGCAAGTGTCATGATGATAATAATTATGTCACTATCACTTAATTTGATGGATAATTAAAGTGATTAGTAACCCGATTCCTACCACTGTTAATAATGACAAATGTAATAATGGAAGTGCATGGACAAGTAAACCTGAGTAAGTCAGATGCCATGAGGGGAAAAGCGGTGGACTAACAGCACAGAGCTGCACTGGCACCGAAGCCAGAGTCAGACGCACACACAGTGGATGGAGATGGGGGAAGGCCGAAAGCCAGCCTGAGAAGCTGAAAAATGCAATGTGAAAAGTGGCAACTGCTTGCAGGGTAGCGTCTCACACAGCCCTGCTCAGCTCCTGGATCAGTGCTGGCCCTTGGTTGTTGCCGAATGGATGCATGAAGTTGCCAGAACGTCCTCTCCCAGAACAATGTCTGGCTTTGGAGCTGCCCTTGGTCTGGTTTCGCTGCCCTTGCCTGTGACCCCTACTCTGAGGAGGCAGAGCCAGGGGATTCTGAATGTGAGACCCTACCCCGAAACAAAAGTGCTTTACTCCTTCTGGATAATGTGTTTTCTCTTTGTAGCTACTCCACAGGTAGAATTTCCGAGAATTCCCTTAACATTCATCCAGCTCCTCCTTCACAGCCGCATACCACCAAGACAGAAAACACGTTTAATGCTTCTAAAGTAGAGCCGCACTCTTTTCCCTTTCCCTCACGTTTCCCGAGGGCTGCCAAGAAGACCGGTAAAATGCGTTACTCAAAGCTCTTCTTAATCTGAGATGATTGTCTTGCTGTGATCTAAGGACCAGTGTTTGCAGTTATTCTGTTAATTTCTGCTGTAGACGACAGCAAATCCCCATTGTAAAGGGAGCGTGGGTCTGAAGTAATGAAGCCTTTGGAGCGTAACTATCATCAGGGACCTTTTTAACCATTGAACCTCCCTGCTTTAGAACCTGCACAAACCAACCTCTGCAGGGAAGTTTCCGTTAACTTGACACAAACTTGAACAGACCTAGGAAGAGGACACTTCAATTAAGAAATTGTTTTCACCGAGTTAGTCTGTGACCGTGTCCATGAGACATTTTATTAGCTGATAATGTAGGAGGGCCCGGCCTGCTGTGTGGGGTCCGTGGCATTCCTGGACAGGCAGGCCTGGGTTACATGATAAAAGCAAGAGTGAAGAACCAGGGAGCAAGCTGCCCAGTTCTGCTTGGCCCTGGGGGGACCATTCTTATTTAACCACCGTAGAATTCAGTGTGCTCTGCTGGCCCTGCTTGCAGCTGGTAAACAGATACACACACACACATACACACACACACACACACACACAGGCAAAACATTCAGACACATAAAAATTAATCTTTTCAAATGTTTCTTCAAGAGAGTAAGACACTGTCTATAGTTCTTTGAGGGATGAGCCATGACCCTTGGCATAAGAATGTGTCACTCGAAGCATGCCTCTGTTTTGTGTTTCTGCACTGATGATTCAAAGGCATTTCACAAACGGCAGGTGTGAGATCAGCTGCCCTCCTCTGCACTTACAGGTGAGAGATGATAGCCCTTGGAGAAAGGAGAACAAGGTTCTCACCAAGGGCAGGAGGCTGAAGCTAGGCGGAATGTGGCCGGAGCAGCCCCGGCTGGATGAGCTCACATCTTCGAGGCCCCACGCTCCCTTCACCAGGCCACACCCTTCTCGGGCGACTCTCACTTTTTGCCGGTGCCCCATGCACGATGGAAATCTTTTGTTCTATCTAAACTTCTATGAAATAAATTTGTGTGGCTTTCTCCTATTCGTCTGTCTCATGTCAGTCTAATTCGTAGGCTCAGCCAGGCCCCGTAGAGATGCCAGCCCAGTCCGCAGTGCTTGCTCCCTAAAAGAAGCCTGCCACGCCCTGAATGGGCTCTCAAAGCTGAGTGTTTGGGTGTTATACATTGGGTAGTGCGTAGGCATTCTCTCTGAACTGAAGCGCCCCCTCCTAGAGGGAGGGAGGACACTCAAGAGGCTGCGGGACTGACAAGGCCCTGGAGGCTCAGAAACTGATTCTTCCAGCTCTCCCCAAGGCTGTATGCACAATGAGAGAGCCTGGACAGAGCGCCCTGCACGCTCGGGAAGGAACTTCTAAGTCAGTGCTTGCATGTGTGTCACCTCTGGGAAAGCTAGTGAAGCTGCTGCATGCCTGCGCCCAGCACTAGTGTGTGCCTGTGTGTGAATGGCATGTAAACTTTCTGACATGGCTATGCATCGTGCCACGGCCGAAGCTCTTTAACATATGCCTTCACTTACATGGTCATCATATAAGGAAAGAAAAACCTAAGACCTCAGCAGTCACAAACACACGGTATCTACTGTGGTTGATTTCGGCATCACGACACATAGTTTATCACTTGAACTTATTTCTCCTGTTTCAGCGGAAAGTTTTGTATGCTTTGACCAATATTTTCCTCATCTCTTCCCTCCCCCAGCACGTAATGGACGTGATAGGTTTGGAGAAACCCAGAGTGCTGTAAAGTACCATTAATGGGAGCAGCGTTCACACATGAACCAGCTGCCAGTAACAGACCGTCCTAAATTCTGTGTCAGTGCCGGGTGGGCTGGGTATAATCTGTCCTCTCTTCAAGATGAGAGAGCTGTAACTTCAGGGTCGGAGAAACTTGGGGAAGGCAACCCAAGCAGGCAGGTGAGACGAGCTCAAATCTATCTTCCTGAACTGTTTTCTCTCACCATGGTGCCTGCATGCAGGTAACATGAAGGAAAACAAACAAAACAAAACAAAAGGAACAAAAACACAGAATTTAAAAAATCATGCTCTTTTAAGAAACAAACCCCAGTGTCTCATGAAGTCCAAGCTGGCCTGGAACCTGCTATGGAGCTGACCATAACCTTGAATTCCTGATCTGCTGCGCTGTCATCCCAGCGCTCAGAAGAGGCAGGAGGATCACCTCCAGTTCAGGGTGAACATGGTCTGCATAGCAAGCTCCAGCCCAGTGGGGGATACACCATGAGACCCTGCCTCAAAGGAAAACAAAAAGCACCCCTACCCCTTCACCCGCACCTCGCACCACACCCCTCACCCCATCACCCCCACCTCTCACCCCTACCCCTCACCCCTACCCCTCACCCCTACCCCTTCACCCACCCCCTC